GAGAGAGAGAGAGAGAGAGAGAGAGAGAGATTTTTTATCAGTTTTTATTTTGGAGAACTAAACTTCAAAGTAGCATTATTTGATGAAGACATTTCAACACTAAAATGGAACAACTTTGAAAAATAAATATAATTTGCTGTTAGATTTAACTGGGATCCCAGATCAGTTTGAGAAAAGATTTACGTTACTACAGACGATCTCTTAACTATTTGAAATTCTAATCTGCTGAGCCCGTTTTTTTCTTACTTAAAACTTAAAATGTTGGAGAATGAGGAGGAAGTTGTTTTTTTTTTAAGTTAAAAATAAACTAAATTTACTTTTTAAAAATGTGGATCTTTTAATGTAGTATTTGCTGTATTAGAAAGGATTTGTTGTTTTATTCTGTTCTTTAAGCAAAATTTCAACTATTTCATTTAGACAAGCAGAAAGCTTCCATTCTTTTGCCCTGTTTGGTATTTGTTGTTCTGTATTTTTCTTTATTTAATGTATAAAGTGTCTGCTACGAGGTCCTCTGCAGCCAGGGCTGCCATGTAGCGTGCCAGTAAAGCAGCCACTGAGAACAGGGTGCATGAGTTTGCATTCATCCTTCCCACTGAAGATTTTTACTCATAAAACTTATGGTTAGTGGAAAGTTCCCCGTATTGCACCCCACCACCACCACACCACTTACTCCCAGATCCTGAGGCTGCAGGGGAATGCTTGCTTTTATAATGGCATAATTAGGGATGAATGTGCTTATTTGATGCCTAATGAAAGCTGAATCAATTTTAAAATGCTTTCCTTTTTCTTGCCCCTCCCCGTTCCCTGCGCACCTACCCCCTTCCCTCTTGTTTTCCTAGACACAGTGCCAACATAAACCTGCATCGTAAACTGTTGACCAAAGAACTCGATGACATGGGCCTGGACTCTTCACAGCCCTCCCTTAGCAAGGACCTCCGGGATGAATTTTTGATGAAGATCTATGGTGCCCAGCACTCTATGGGGCTCGATGTCAGGGAAGATGCCTCCTCTCCCGCAGGGACAGAAGACTCCCACCTGAATGGGTATGGGAGAGGCATGGCGGAGGACTACATGGTCCTTGACCTGAGCACCACCTCCAGCCTCCAGTCCAGCAGCAGCATCCATTCCTCCAGAGAATCAGATGCAGGCAGCGATGAGGGGATTCTTCTCGACGATATTGATGGGGCGAGTGACAGTGGGGAGTCCACACACAAGGCTGAGGCCCCTGCCCTCCCTGGCAGCCTAGGGGCTGAAGTTTCAGGATCTCTTATGTTCAGCGGCTTGTCTGGAAGCAATGGTGGGATCATGTGCAACATTTGCCACAAAATGTACAGCAACAAGGGAACCCTGAGGGTGCACTACAAAACCGTGCATCTGCGAGAAATGCACAAGTGCAGAGTTCCCGGGTGTAATATGATGTTTTCCTCCGTGCGAAGCCGAAACCGGCACAGTCAAAACCCCAATCTCCACAAACACATTCCCTTCACTTCAATAGATTAGTCCCAGAATGGACATCACAAATGCCAGCTCTCACCAGATGGCCTACCTGTTTGAACTGCCACAGCCAGTGTGTGCTTCCTTGGCCGGGGGCGTGTATCGTGCGCACATATGTATGCTTCTCTGTCTACACACGTGCACACATACACATTTTCTTTTCTTTAGATAAAAATGATAAACACTAGGTGCTTTTGAATTTTTTTTCTTTTTCCTTTATAGTTTTGGGAGAGGGGTGGGACCCTGAACTTGGGATGAAAACGAAGTACCCCTTCAAATACAGACACACATATAAAGCTGCAACTAGCCCCACTTTATTGACAGAGTAATTCTTGGTCTTCTCCAGAGAGACGTTTTGTTGTACCCATGACTGTTGCCTGCAAAAATAAAAGGGAAAAAAAGAGAAAACAAACAAAAAGTAACTTCTAGTTGTCTTTTGTGAATTTTAAGGTTTTGAGAGAATCTTCAAATAAGCATGGCAGATTCATCTGTAAATATATAGCCTTGAGAGGCCAATGATGTAAACAATTGTTTTGATGGTTAACTCGTCTTTAATTTTGACAGTTACATCCAGCTGTTAGATATGCAGGAAAAAAATAGTTTGGCTAGCTGTATTCATTTTTGTTAGCATTAATGCACATTTTCTTTTTTCAAAAAAACATGGTCTTGTTTTTACTACCTGTTAGATATAGTGATAAAGAGGTGCTGGCATGCTTTACAGCACAGATCTGATTTTTAAAATGTCCTGTACTAGTACATAAATCCAGTCATGCACTTTTTTCATACACTACAAGGGGATGTGTAATATCCATGCTTCTTTTTTATCCTATTGCCATACTTCAGTAAGTGTCTTTCTTAAAAAAAAAAAAAAAAACCACTTGTATAAAAATGGTCTGGTCAGTGTAGGGCACAAATACAAAACAAAAGGTGTTAGTGGTAACACAGAACTGCCAACTTTGCACAAGTTTTCAGAAAAGAAAATACAACTAGTCACTCAACCACAGGCCGGCTTGTTGGCCACCAGAAACCGCTTAAAAAAGAAAACAAAAAAACTTGATGATTCTTTCAAGTGCCGAATGTTATTAGAATCAACATTGCATCCTTCTTTTGTACATGTTAAGTTACATAAAAGGAAAACAAAGTTATGTGGTGTGAAACAGCCAAGGCATTTCTTCTGTAGAAGCAGGATAATATTTCAAGATACAAAAGCCCAAATTACTATGAAACAAAGCTGAATACGGTAAAGAGTTCAACACTCATTTCCAAGGCCCTCACCCTTATCCTTTGAAAAGAAAGAAAAAGTCTGAGCTGGGGTGATCTGTTGTGTGGCGGTCTCATTTATGGAAAATTCTGCAGTAGCTCTGCCCGCCTAATAGACAAAATCAAAAGCTGTTTCAGAGCAGCTGTTCTTGGAAGCTCTGAGAACACGTGCTGAACTTGAATTGAGCAGCTTTCCTCCCTGGACGTGCAGAGGATGAGACAGTGAGACTGTGTACTATTTTGTGTTTCCCCACACAGATTTGTCAGAGAAAGGAAAGCCTGAAACCAAGCAATTGAGAGTGAGAACAGGGCGGGGGAGGCTGCTCCAAACCTTTTTGTTTTGTTTTGTTTCTGATGTTTACACGTGTTGCCTGAGCTGGTTAACCACATCGGCAGCCTCTGCTACCACAGCATACTGACTAAATACTGATATTTACTCAAGTTCAGTCTGCAGCCAGAACTGCTATGGTGTGCATTGCAGACTGCGTTCTGTTGTCTTTTTCTTTTTTTTTTTTCCGGGGGGGGGGGACCTCATAAACAGTAATATTTTGTCAGACAGTACATATATAATATAAAGAGAATGTATTTCTTTTCTGCATTTAATGGCCTCAAACATTTCTCCCATCAGTCTAAAACGTAGAAATATCCTTTATTTTCAATTTTCCTATCATTTCCATTTTTCATGTTTTATAATTATGTTTTTTATGTTCACATCAGCATTTACTTCCGTTAAATTTGCCAAAGGAAACTGTCAGTACGTTTCTGTTATTATTCCTATACGATTTATTGTACCTCACAGTATTTATTTTTTTTCCAAAATCAAGCATCATTCATTGGGTGGTTCAGTCGTTTTTATTTTTTAAAATTTCTGAACAGTAGATTCTTAAAGATAAGCTAGGTGTTTCTAGGGGCTTTACCTTTTCACCTCCTCCTGAGGATGCCATGGGTTTGGCTTGATTCTTCGTTTGTTCTACAGTGAGGAAAGACCAAAAGTATTTGCAGTAAAAAGAAACTAATCAAACACTATGTCTGTTAAATGACAAATGTTTACGGTAAAAAAGCTGAGGAGTTAGTAATAACCTTTGTTTGTTTTCTTGTACCTTTGACTTCCCCAAAGTCTTATTTGCTTTATTTTGGTGTTGTGTTCAGTTGAGTACACAGATGTTTTCCTTTGTTTTATAACATACGAGACTCTGTACAATGTGTTTGTGAAAGACTGAACTAGAATAATGAACATTTATTTGCAAACATCTTGGTCCTCCAGCCTTGTCTGTATTACATTGCTGCCTGTCACTACATGTTGGATTCAGAAAGGGTGGAAAAATAGTCTTACAGTCCTAACAAAAATTATAGAAACTCTGGCTTTCGGTGGAATGCATATAGACTAAACTATGTCTCATTTCATGAAAATTAATATGCATTTGTGCTTCAACAACTTTTAAGTGTTTCACTCTGAGATGTTAGAGTTCATTTGTACAAAATCAGTGTTTAGTCTGTTTAATTTAATGTCAAGTAAAAGGTTAGATGGTCCTCGTTGGTGAATCACCTAGCTGTGAGGACCCTCATATCAGCTGGTGAACTAGGCTCAGAACAAGCGTTTGTTACCACAAACCTGGCTAATGTCTGTAGGCAGCTAGAAAAAGCCAGAAGAATTAAGAGTCGGGCGGTAGACTTTCTTACTTGGAAACATGAATACATGCACCTGTTGTTGTTGTTGTTGTTGGGGTTTTTGTTCATTTTTGTTTTGTGTTGTTTTTTTTTGTTTTCGTTAGAAATGGTAATAGGTCCTGGGCAGCTGGCATAGTTTAAATATGTCCCTAATTTGCTACTGCTTTTGTGCCTCGAATATCCAGTTGTTATGGTGGCCGTTTCATAAGTAAATGTTTCAATATAATGCCTATTTGTTTTAAGAGGGACATAAGTAATAGATGGATGTAGCACATATAATTCTTGGGGTCCAAACTGTCCCTGGTTCTTGGGTAGGCCTGAGTACAGTGTTTTTGACCTAACTGGTATTGCTTCTTAAGACTGTGACTCCCAAGGCTTACATGCAAATTGGTAGGATGAAGAGACCAGCGTTTTGAACAGCCAAGCGCTTCACCTCTGCCTCTTTCTACTCAGCTACTTTTTTTTGATGTTTCCTATTACTTCACAGTTCCTAGCTGCATCCATTTTACGCTGGCTGAAAAATTAATAGGGATGTAGGTTTTTATAGCCCAAGTTTTATCACAGGTCCAGAATTAAGCACCACTGGTTGCACGAGCTCTGCAGCTGACATGGAAGTCTACTGTTCTGGTCATTTTAAACTGTTTCTGTAAATATCAGAAAGGCTGGGTCCACTTTGAAGGGAGAGGACGAGAACAAGGGAAAGGACAGGTAATAATAAGTAATTTGGTTTTGAAAATGTGATAAAAAGCTTGAAGCTCTTCATCTAGTAATTGTATTTAAATAAGCCAGCCCAGTATAACTCATTCCCAGTCTTAGTACAGCTTGCCCCAGTCAGCCTGATGCTTTTTTAAGGCTTAAACATGTGAACATTTTTCCTTCTCAACATGACAAACATCTTTTTGGAAAACAGTTTTAGCACAGCAATGTCACTGCCCTGGTAGTGTGACTTCTTTAACATGAATTTCCAGGCCCTTCCAGTAAGAAGGAACTGAGCTCGTTAACAGCTAGTAACATTAGAGTACAAATTTTTCTTAAAAGTTTTTATAAAAAGGTTAGAATCTATGAAGAAGGGGCTGGTACAGAGATAGCCCCTCATTTTACTCTGGAGAAAATAGGCATAAGGCTTCCCTCTCCTTCTGTACACACCCTAGGTGCGTGCCGGGCAAATGCGAGTGGGGGCCCTTGGCAGTTATAACATCAAGAAGCTGGTAAGCAGCTTGAGATGGACATTGCTGCTGACAGCTGAGAGCGTGCCTGAGCAGCCCTCATTTGTATCAGTTCGGCCACCACTGGGCTAGTTAACTGACAACAAGTAGAAACCAACCGTCCTGAGACACGTTGCATCTACTGCCATAAAGGAACAAGTCATCCTGTAGAAAGATTTCCATCCTATGGGCACACCTTGTTTTTAGAGTTTTCTAGTTATGATGAATAAATTATTTCTTTTTAAGTACTGTGCCTTTTCCCAAACTATGAGTATTCAGAGAAGTTTCCTTTTCCCTCTCAATCTTGTCTTTAGCAGAAGGGATGTAAATGAGCAAGGAGGGCAATAAAAGGCAGGTGCCAAACGCCTGGCCGGACTGGGGTTCTTGTAGCAGGGACGGGTGCTAGGCAGAGAACTGGGTCTTGCCCTGTGAGGACACCTGGAAATGAAAATGCTGAATGCACTGCATGTGTTTGTCCAAGTGGGAAAAAACAAACACTCAGCTCTGCCTTGCTGTAGGTGACAGAACACCCTGCAGAGTTCGCCATGACCAGGTGAGTCAGAGTGTATCTAGGGAAGGACTTATGGGTCAGGATAACCAACAAAGGCAGTTGTGGGTGTTTGGCCATGCTCCTGTATTCATTTTGAATGGGAAGTGGTGGCCAGAGTGCTTTTGGGATGCAAGGGTCATTTAGACTAAAAATAAGGCCAGTAGTGGAACCTACTTCTAATCCTGATGAGTGGAGATATAAGTGGTACCAGCACAAGTCTGTCCTTTCATTGTTTGTGTTGTCACTATAGCAACACACAAAGCCCTGATTGTAAAGCCACTTGGCTGACAGTCTTTTGATCCAAACATGAGCTCAGTCACCATCCTGAGGCACAGAGTTCACTCCTAACTTCATATTTTCCCTCAGAACTCAACCATTCCCGTTCCTGCCACTGTTGGATCACAGCTGATCTGCCCCAGGCTCATTGCCATCTTTCCTGTCATTTCCTAGTCCCTCACCACAATGGTCATTATGGAATAGTATTCTGTAGCCCTGCTATACTGCTGAACAGTGGGTCGTCTTCCATACTCTTGTCCACACACCCAGCCTTTCTCGTTTCCTTTATCCTGTCTTCCCACATTTTGCACAAAATGATTTTTATAGCCATTCTGCAATAACTGGATGTCAGATAATTGTCTTTGGGGCATTTATTTTTAAAAAGTACAAAATGCTTAATAGAGGGCTTAAAAAAGTGAAGCGTTTTTACAAGTATACTAAATTGAGTCAGCATTATTCATT